TCAGAAAAGCAGGAACCCAAAAAACCCCAAACCGACGCAGCTGTGACCAGGAAACGTTCAAAGTCATCGAAAGGTCATATACAGTCTCTGTTGTGTTTGAATACAGAATGTGTTACAGGAGCAATGGTTCAGTGTGGTGTGAGTACGCTCCCGTCATAAAGTGTTACCTTTTGCTTATTTTCATATGGCATGAAGCACTGTACAGCAGATCCTATTAATAATTAACCATAAACAAACCATAGCACCGTTCCTGTCAAGTGCCACTGCTCTTCTGTGATTTATTACTGTGTGTGTATCTGTGCGTGCATGCGTACGTGTATGTGTGTATGTGTTACAGTAACTGACAAAGGTCAGTCCACAGGCACTAGTCCTGCTGCAGAACAGTTGGTTGATCGCTTTAACCCATTTGGTTCTGACCTCATCTGCACTCTGTGTGTGTGTTCAGCAACTAGGACGTCCTCCCGACGTGAAGGGCGCTATACAAATGTAATTTGTTGCTGTGTGTGTGTGAGAGATGGAGCCATCGACCATCCTGACTCATTCTTTCTGACTCGTAACTCCACTGTTTGAAAACTAACTTGTGTCGTTAGGACTCATACAAAGATCTAGGGTGGGAATTTCACCCAAGTCTGTTCCATAGGAGCACGGCTCTCCCATCACCAGTAGGACAGCAACAGTTCCCGTTTCCACCATGTCAGGTGGAATCACTTCACTTCAGTTTATTTCACTCCCGGGATCTACCAATACCCTCACTAAAACCTCCAGCTCCAGCTGCTTGGTCTACAACTAAAAAAAACCTTCATAACTTAGCAGTGAAAAAATGTGACAGTTCATCAGACTTTCAATGTGATAATTATCTCTTATGAAATGCTGCATTTTTCAGGCTTGTAGGCACAGAGTGAATGAGGATGGTTCAAGCCTCTACACCAATGTCCTTCAATCAAGAGCAAATTATATTGTGCTTTTTAAGTGTCAGCTTGGCTCAGCTGGTAGTGCTGTCACCTATGGGTCACAAGGTAGAGTGTTGATCTTTCGATGTTGACTTCCTCTTACCATTGTGAAGCAGAATTCACCCAACGTTGAATTGTTCATGCAGTAATAGGGATAATAATAGTAATCCTTGCATTTGATATAGCACCTTATCACGTCATTGAGACATCTCATAGTGCTTCACAGAATATATTGTAAGGTGGATGGGTGTGTATTTTGAGGGCGAATGCAACAGCATATCATCAATGGGTTAAAACCCACTTGATTCACAACCAATACCTTCAATAAACCTGATACGGAATGGGAGTTGGGATTAAACCCTAATCCTAGCTCCTATTCCCTAACAGTGGCTGAATGATCCAACTCTCTGTGAATTCTGCTTCACGATTATTGGAAGGGCTGACATCAAAAGGCTGTTTTTGAGATGTTTCAGCGTTATAGGCACTTATACTAAATTCAAGGATTGTGTAACTCACTCTCGAGCTATATACTGCTCCTCTAGTAGGCAGCCTTAGATACGGGACAAAAAGGATAGTCCTATTGTATTGCTACAGTAACTGGATCAGCGCAACGCTCAACATTGAATTCAAGCAATACATTTATTCTTCCCATCTGTGATTTATACTATATATCCAAAATATATGAATAAAAAAATTGGTCATTCACACAATGGTGTTTATTGGACATTGCTGTCTAAATTGGCTGCCATGTTCACCCATGAAATACACATTATATTACACTTTACAGTATATCCTGTGAAGTCCTTTGAGAAACCTCAATGACGTGATAATGCATTATATCAAATGCAAGGAATATCATGAAGGAAATGGGATGCAGCGATTGGCATTCCTTTCCCATCTGGGCTTATTTTCACGAAAACTGTGGAAATAGCAGTGGCTGCATTGATTCCAACAATCCACTCCCTGCAGATAATAATAATAATTCTTACATTTGATATAGCTCCTTATCACATCTTACTCAAATCACAAAATGACTGCTCCTGGCGATGGATGTCTGTTCTGTATGGAAGCTTGGTGAAATAGCTCAGCTCTTCCTCATGCTCTTCAGGTGAAGCTGCTGCATTCCCTTTTTGAGGGAAAACAACTTTTTAGGAAAGAAATTGAAGAAATCCTGGAATGTTTCAAGCAGCCACCTAAAGAACAATGATCGTTTTCCTCATCAGACTGACACAGTAGATGTGGGTTAAAGCCCCAGTTTGAGTCTTTGAGCTCATTGCCTAGGCTGACACTCCTATTGCAGTGCCAGAAAGGGCTACATTGTCTGAGGATGAATGTGTGTTAAATGTCCTGTCTTCCTGTTCTGGCATTATTTGAAAAGAGAAAGGGTTGGAGAAAAAATTGCAACAATACTTTGATAATGTTTCCGTTATTTTGCTCATCTTCTCTCAACTTTGTGTCCATGATGTCTCCTGGTTGATACCGTCAGGTGTTACAGATAATACAGATAATGTGAGGAGGGGGAGATGATGTTGACACATATCAAGGCGAAAGCCCTTGGCTATGCTTAGCAGGCAGATTACCCTGAAAAGGGCCCCTACTATCTCATCGCTGGAGGCTTGGCTGAAGTTTGAAGCATTGACTTCTGGTGAACTTTGCTGTCCTGTTGCTAACGTGCGCTGGAACTCACCCATGTTTACCACTTTGATTGTATCAGTTTTAACAACCTGGTCAACTGAATGACATGTAGTCGAGGTTGTTTTAAGAGCTTGGGAAAAAACGAAGATGTGAGCAGTGCCACTGAGGTGAATTGTAGGGCCCCTCCTTACTGCCCTGGCTGAGATCAGGTAGACTGGCACCGACTAGGAATCAAACCTTCCAGACAGTGATATAATAATAATCCTTGCCTTTAATATAGCGCCTTATGTCTCATTTTCACAATTGGCTTTACCAACTGAGTCATTGGGGAGCATCGCAGAGATTGTACACTACAATTACTGTGCACTTCATTGTCCATTCAGTGTACTGTATACATCGTGTGTCATGATGTCAGACATTAATGGGATTTTCCGTTATAGTTGCTAATCGCCAAAGGCACTATGTATAACGCTGAATTTCACTTATATACCTCACACCCAATCCATCTGAAACCATCAGTCACGCATTCGTCACCTCCCACTTCAAATTTTCCAATTTTTTGTCAAAACACCAGAAACAGCTACAGACGTTCACAGACTAGGCTTGCACATTACGTAAAGAGTGTCTGCTTGGTTAAGGTACAGGATGTATGTCCACGGAACCATAATCTAGCATTGGAGATGTAGAGGAAGGTAAAAAGGTTTAGAAAGTGCATTAAAATTGACTGCTATATTGTTCCACAGGCTGGTCAGTCTCTCACCAAAATTGCATCCAAGTGTTATCTGTATGTGAGCCAGAACAGTCAGTGTGCAAATGTAATAGTATGAGTGTGTGTGTGTGTGAGAGGGGAAGGGATCACAGTTGAGCCAAATCCTTTCGTTCCCTGATATCCACATTTTGCATGGGACACATGTAATAGCTTTTAGAAGCAGAATCCTGGCTGAATTTTCTCCTTCGAGGCCCAGTGTAGCAGCCCACAGCTATTGGCAGGGGTTGAAACCTGTGACCGTTGTCATCTATCTGTCTTGTGTTGTCTCACGCTGAGGTATCAGAGGAGTTTAGGGTTTTCTTTCTAAGAGATCTGCCATTCTCAATCTACATGATCCCAAGACAAGACTCCAAAACATGGATGTTTCTTAATTTCGATCAGGAATTCTCTTTGACGTTCATTCTCCTCCACCCCCCCACCCACCCACACCCCTCCCCCCTCACCTCCAAAGGACAGTATGCCCAACACAGTTCAATGAATCCAAAAGGAGATTACTATTGATCTTTGCACAAAATGCTAAATACACCGAACATTGTAGACGGAAAGAGCCCCAAATCAGTAATGTTAATTTTCATGCTGATTTATGGTAAATCAGTACATTATGAATAATATTAACAAATCACTTTGCAAAGATCCAAGCTTGGCTGGAAGATTTCAATGTGCTTCAGGAAATGGGAAAGAAGCTAATCTTTTATTTATGCAGTTTCACTCCTCTTATCATTTCTCCCTGCTCTGACATGGGGAGTTCAGAGTGCCAGTATGATTTAATGTGCCCAAAATCTCATTCGGAGATCCAAATATTCAGCATCACCTTGTCTGGAAATGTTGTTGCATATAACGATGTGTCGAATTCTCTGCGCACAAACTGGCCTGTTTTTTTTTCCCCCCTGCTTTTCTCACTCCGACTATTGTCTGATAAGAAGTTATCACAACCTAGCTGCATTCCTTCACTTGGCAAACATGCTCCTCAGATAAATAGAGATCATGTGTGTTGTGTATGTTTTCTTCCTCCCCTCCGAATAGGAAAAATTGCTGATGGCAATGCAGATCATGAAAATACATGTATCTGGGAAGTAACAGTCCAGGTGAGAATTAACAAGATTGACAGATGTGTATTAACTGATAAGAACATTATGCAAAAAAANTGGAAATCAGTGATACAAGCAGTTGGTTGAAATATGGAAATTTATGAAATCATCCACATATTTTAGCTGCTTTTATTTAGGAGGTTTTTCTTTTAGGAGATGGGGGAGAGCAACCGGGAGTTGCTGGTACTGTTCGATGTTATACCACGGCGTACTGGACAGGAAAATGCCTGGTTCAAACCGTGGTCCGTGCTGGGTTAGCTGATTTTAGATGGGGCAGTGTTTGGGGGCAATGCGTTGGCAGACTCCCTTCCTCAATCTCTCTACTTTGCTCCCTCTTTGTCCGGCTTCAGATTGCACGAAGACTTTCCTCTTCGACCGTGCCTAGGGTCATCTCCCCTTTCTCCCCGGCTCGGCGTCAAGCTCTACCATTGTTAAGCTCTCCGAGACACTACCCCACATGAAGGGCGCTATGTAAATGCAAGTTGTTGTTGGGAAAGCTATCACTGAGAACAGAATGAGGACCACCTGTGTGATGTCCACCTGCCAGCCGCACCCACACAAGATAAACAGCAGGTAATTGGGTAAGAGTTGTAGTGCACGGCTGGTACCCATGAAATCGTATAATAACCATCCTTACAATTGGTATATCCCGTCGAATCAGCCTTTTGAGGAGCAGAGGAAGCAAAATTATTTTTTAAATTGTGATTTGCCGGGGTCAAATGTTAATAATATTCCTTACATTTGATACAGCACCTTAGGAGGACGTCTCAGAATGCTTCACAGGGTATACTGTACGGTGACAAAAATCTCATCTCTTTACTTAACACAAATGCTTGATGAGGGATGTTGTGCTTAAACCTAAACCACTGGCAGTAAGTCACATGTTAATCAGATTTCCATCCAATGCCATAGCAGCGAACAGTTCCAGTAATTGTGAGGACACTGCGGCGGAGAGATTAAAAAAGGGACAAACCAGCAGAGTATTGTCCTTTAAAGAGCGGCAAATTCATTAGTCATTCATTTGCACAGCAAGTACCTTCCTCTGCCCATTCACCCAGCTATTACTCGCCACTGAAAAGTCACAAAACCCTGTCATTACTGAAATCAATCACTGAGGGGCCCACAGAGCAGCCCTGCAGTCTTGCGTTTACTGTGTTAAGGAGCTCATGATGACTCTTCTCTCTCTCTTTCTCTCTCTTTGTGCCCCTCGGCATCCTCCCTTTTCTCTCTCCCAGTTCTCTCAGTACTCTCTCTCACTCTCTCTCGCTTCTATTCCCTTTTTCTTTCTCTCACGTTGTGCCCCTCAATATCTTCCCTCCTCTCTCTCTCTCTCTCTCTCTCCCCCAGAGCCCTCCCTCTCTCTCCCTGTACCCCACACCCCCCGCCCTCTCAGTCGCATGCTTTTGTTCTCTTTTTTCTCCTTCTCTCACGTTGTGCCCCTCAGTATCTTTCCGTTCTCTCTCTTGCTCTGTCTTGCAGTGTCCTCAGTATTCTCCCGCTCTCGTTTTCTTCTCTCTGACTTTCTGTCTCTCACTCTGCCCCTTATTATCTTCTGTTACAAAATGCTTTAAGACGACCTCCTGATGTGAAACGTATTATATAAATGTCAATTGTTGTAAAATTGTTTATTCTCTCTCTCTCACATTATGCCTCTCTCACTGACTCTCTCACTGTCTCCCCATACTGTCTCTCCTCTCTGTCTGCTCACTGTCTCTGTCACTATCTATCTCACCTGCCTCTCTCTTACTTTTTCTCTCTCTCTGTCTCTCCTAATGTCTTTCTCGCTGGTTCCCCTCTCAGTCTGTCTCTCACTCTCTCTCCCGGTTCCTTCAGTACTCTCTCCCACTCTCTTTCGCTTCCATACCCTTTTTCTTTCTCTCACGTTGTGCCCCTCAATATCTTCCCGCCTCCTTCTCTTTCTCTCTCCCAGTCTCTTTCTCTCTCTCGCTGTCTCTCCTCGCCGTGCCTAGGTAATTAATGTAGCAGCTGCGCAGTTTCTGAGGAGTTGGCTGTAACTCTGAAATCTGTGGTGCATGAGCTCTGAACTTTGTAAACGTTTCTCTGGGCCTGTTAACCTTTGGCCTCACCAAAAATTCCTCCTCAGTTGTAACCACGTCATGAATCCTGTGGGAGAGCAGGTATAAGAGTACATATAAAAGAGCACTGTAATGACGTGTCTAAAAGAGCCTGGTAGCTCTCTTGAGTCAGAAGGTTCAAGCACAACATCAGGGACTAAGCTCATAATCTAGTCTGACACTCCAGTACAGTGCTGGTGTGGGCGAAGGGTGGGGGACACTGCATTTGCAGAGGTATCGCTTTTCAGATGAGATGTTAAACCGAGGTTCCATCTGCTTGTTCAGGTGGATGTTAAAGATCCCCATGTTCAAAAAGAGAAGGGAGTTTCTCCTCGTGTCCTGACCAGCAATCCTTTCAGATAAAAAATTGGTCATTCTCTTCATGGCTGTTTGTGGGACATTGCCACGCACAAATTGGCTGCCATGTTTCCCCAAACATGCGTGGTCACTACATTTCATAGAAAACTCTGAAGCGCTTTGAGACATTTTGACATAAATAGGTGACTTATCAAATGCAGATATTATTTTTATTATTACTGATTTATCAGTTATTCCTGGCTGCGTTGGTGGATACATAAAATTGTCTTGAACATAGTGCAGTAATCCTGGCTTACTATTACTGTGAAACACCTCCAACGCAGATTCTGTGCTTTATTTTAAAGCACCACTGTTTAGCACGGAGCTTCTTACAATCCATAAAGTTTAATGAGTCTGGTTTATTCCGAGGTGTTTTATTCCAGTCACGATGCAGACAGCAAGCGATAGGGAAAGCTGAGATATGATCTGCAGCGAGCGCTGCCAGCAGCCTGCAAAGGGAGCGATGCCTCCGCTCACGGACTCGCAGGGGATTGTTCTCTAGTTGTTGGCAAATATACTGTCTTTTGGCAGAGAGCTTGCACACTGGGAAATCGCTTCACACTCCCTCCAGCAAGAGTTGATACCTTTACCACTAGAGGAGAATAGCAATAATAGTCCTTACATTTGGTGTAGTCTCTCGTGTCAGGAACACGTCTCAGAGAGCTTCGCAGGATTCGCTGTAAACCCCGAAATGGGCGTGCTCGAAATCCCACTCTCAAAGAGTTAAGTCTCTTTGATACCCGATTTGGCTCAAAAACCACATGGTGCAATAATTGTGGAATATTCGTTGCTAATTCAGTCTTAACATTAAACCCACTTTTACAGCAATTCTTAAAAGTAACCATTTTCGAAATTACACTAATGCGGTAAAGCGACTGTTTTATCTTGGCAAATATCTTATGCACAGCAAAGTCCCACAAACAGCCGTGAAGCAACCGACCAGTTCATGTGGAGGATTGCTGTCTATGATGTGAGGGCAAACTACAGTGCAGTGTTTCTTTTTATTGCCCACCTGAACGGAGCAGCCCGGATCTCAGTTTAACATCTCACCTTAAAAACTTGCATTAAAGACAATTCAATGCTCCTCTCTCTTATCCCCCCCACCCCCAACTCCGTCAACAAAAAAAAACAAAGCCTGAATTAGAAAACCTGAGCTGAGTAGAAGAGCCAGTCAGCCAGCCTCTCTGGAACTGCCGACAATATCCGACCGATTTCTTACTCAACCGCAACAGCGCTGTTCCGCTGTTGTAAAGTGATTCCGTACCTAAATAAACTCCTGTTCGTGTGGTGACTTAACATGTTTTTAAATCAAATGCAATTGACACAATAAAAACCCACAACCATGGTTTTAAGTTTCCTAATTGCTGGATATTTTAGTGGTCGAAAGTATTCAAAAATGCAGTTCCCGAGGGTTTCAGTTGAGACCAATTAGCAGCAGTGTACCACTGAAGTGCTTATCAAAACACGGGAGACCTTTCTGTGATTATCGCTTCACAACGTACCCCTTGTTGGTTTATTTGAACGTGTTGCTTTATTTTAGAAAGTCAGCGACTAAGATCCAGCGTCTCCTTTCAGGTCATCCCAGTCCGACTCCAAGGACTTCATTGGGTTCAGTCTTAATTGTGGGAGAGAGTAGTCTCCAGCCATTCCATTATCCCTTTGGGATATAAGGACTCTTGTTTCTTTTTCTTCCTTTCCAATCTCCTTTGTTCCTCACCTGAAGGCACAGCCTGGCTGAGTCTTTGCTGGGGTACCATTCAAAAACCATCAGCTATCAGCCCGATTTCCTGATATTAATGCTGAATTCCCAGACAATGAATGTGAGCTAACTGTTAAACCTTGTGTGGTGGGATAGGAAAAGGAGTAGGCCATTCAGACCCTTAATCCTGATCCGTCATTCTATTAGATTATGGCTTATCTGTACCTCAACTCCAGTTACCTGCTTTTGATCCATATTTCTTCATACCCTTCCTAGCCTTTTGGAGGAGAGAGTTCCAGATTTCCATTGCCCTCTGTGTGAAAAAGTGCTTCCCGATTTCACTCCTAAATGACCTAGCTAAAAAAGGAGGGGAATGGGGGGGGGCGAAATGTCAGCTGAACTGGATCCGGTGACACCATCGGTGGTCGTTCCTTCAGCCAATACACCCCTAATCTCTGTAACTCCTTGTCTCAATCCTTCCGCCTTGACCCCCAATTATTTAACTTTAAATCCAACCTGAAAGCCTACCTCTAAAACTGCACCTATGGTCACATCCCCCTCTCCTTCGCTCAGTGTCCAACCCTGCCATTGTGCAGTGCTCCAAGATGTTATCCATGTGAAGGGCGCTATATAAAAGCAAGTTGTTGTTGAAACACCCAGCAGGGATCTCTAATAGAGATTCTTGTCTGATTGTTCTTGTCCTTAATCGGGGGCACCGAGGCCAGTTTTAGTGCCCCTGCTGCCCTGGCTCAGAGCAACTAATTTAACACAGAGCAGGATTGGCACCTGCGACATTCTGGATCTGTATGGCTCAGTTCCACGTTAATCGATAACGTTACTACCTGAGGCGTTGGGTGGAGTAGAAAGAAATGACGAAGGGAAGGAAAACTAGACTCGCATTTGTACAGCACTTTGTAACATCAGAAGATTTCAAAGTGCTTCACGAGTTGTTAAGTCAAGTGGAGTGACTTTCTGTAGGGAAATGTGACGACTATTTGCTTTGGCAAGATCGCCCACCAGGAAGAAAATATCAGATAACGCATACATTGCCGGTGACTGTCACCAACAATATTAAGACATCCGTGTTTGTTAGACAAAAGTGAAAAGACATAAGTAAGAAGAGTATTTTCTTGAAGCCTTTTAATGCAGGTTCACTCTGGCGAAAACGTGAAATCTTTTGTCTCCGCAGTTTGCCTCAGGAATATTCTGCACCGACCTTTGGAGGATTGGTTTAAAGATAAATTGTAGTGGAAAAAAACCACACACAAAGCAGGATGCAACACTGCATCACTGGCCAACCTGTATGGTTTTAACCCAATAATAATCCCAGCACACTGTACACGCGTGCCTCTGTGTTGCCAGCAATTGGTTCATCAGTGAGCCATTTATTTCAGTCTGTCCCACTTTATGTCCGTGCTGTGATCTGAATTCTAAATTGAAAT